TTTCCCATGACAGCATGTTCACATCACCTACCTACCCTCAAGCCAAATTTTATGAGAAAAAACAAACATGAACAAGTATTAACACATTTCTTGATATCCATTTACAAAAAAATAATGATTGGGTAATATGCCATTGTATCAGTGTTTAAATCTGCAGCACCTTGTAAAAATAAAAACATTTTGAAATATCTAAAGAGTCCGTATGCTTTAATATCTAGAAAAAGCAGAACAACCCTACAAACAAATCTCAAGAGGTAACCATATAGCTATATAATGAAACCCAATGAAGAACAAGAATCTTAAACAGGTGTAATAAAAGTCAGATTATTCTACTTACCCTAATCACTTTGAAAATCTTCTCCTTCAGTTTCATCTTCTTAACAAAGGTTTTGTCCGTCTGCTGGTGGCACTGGAACGTGTCCCAAACTTGCTGTGAAAGGTTGTCCCACTCTGACCCATTTAACAGATCACTAGGAGTTCCCACCACTTCACTCTTCCACTGGAAGTTTGTATTTATTCGCTCACTGCTGAAAGTCCCGGCACGTTCACTCACTGGCAGTTTGCCTTGGTCCCTATTATTTTTAGTGTTATGTGGAGGGCAGTGGTTGTTGTAGTGGTTTCTGTGGTTGTTATGGTACCTGTTATTGTACCCATGATTATATCTTCCATCACTATTGTTGTAGTGATGATGTGAAGGATAATAATCATAGTGCCCATGATAACCATAATTATTATAACCTCGCTCATATCTTCGGTTATGATAGTTGGTGCAGTCTCTGTTCGCTACATCTGGAAAAGAGTTGTAGTACAGATGGTTCCCCCTTCCACCTACAACACCACCCTGCTGGGCGGAGATTTGTTGCTGATAATGATACTGATGATGTGAAGGATGATGTTGATTGAGATGTGGACGATGGTTCTGGTGATAACGGTGATGCTGCTGGTGATGAGGCTGTGTGTTCTGGCCATCAGCATTGGTATTGTATCTCCTCTTCTGGCGTGGGTTGTGGTATGATCCCTGAGAACTGACGCTGGAAGTGCTTGGGGACTCACTCCGCGAATCCCGGCTGTTGTTGCCCCTCCTGCCAGGCACATCCAGATGCCGTCTGGAACAAGCAAGGGTAGACTGAACAAGTGATCTCCGAAACATACTAGAGTCTAATAAGAAATTTTATGCATATGTTTATCTTGTAAGAGGATAAACAGAATATCTAGAAACTATGGAAAATTATTAAAAAAAAAATTATATATATACAAATATATATATATATATATATAACTATAAATAAATATACAAAAAACAAACAATTAAACATTAATAAACAAATGCCAACAAATTGTCACTTTGAAAAGTTTAATGTAAAATAATTGAAAAACTCGAAGAAAAGTTTTCTCTTAATTCAAGTACAAAATCTCAAATGAAGTGAATGCTTCTTTCCCCATTCCATGAATTACAGTTATTCAGATAAAAATAAACATACTGAAGCCTAAATAACAAATATAAAAATTACCAGAAGAATGAATGTGTAGCTTTTTGCAAACATAGATTTTACTACAAGCTGCAATTTTGTCACACATGACACTCCAAGGTACCATAGCACCTAGTTTGAGTCACTGCTCTCCAGAATAGAGACCGTAAAGTAAAGTAACATGATATAATTTAAAAAACACTTCACATGGTCCTCCTGAAATGTTTACTATTCACACATCCATGTGGGAACAAAGTCAGAAATTCCATTTGGTAAACTTACTTAGTGGCAAGCTTGGGCTCGGCGGCATCTAGTGTGTGGTCGAGAGATAGGCTCTGAGGTCCAGGGGGAGTGGAGCAGCGTGACGAGTAGCCCGTGTCGCTGCCTCCACTGCTGCTGGCACACTCCGACCTATTATCGCTGGTGGGGAGTGAACAGGGGAGCTGTTATGGGAGTAGTTCTTGTATGTGCATTATATATATATATGTGTGTGTGTGTGTGTGTGTGTGTGTGTGTGTGTGTGTGTGTGTGTGTGTGTGTGTGTGTGTGTGTGTGTGTGTGTGTGTGTGTGTGTATGTATGTATGTATATGTATGTATATATATATATATATATATATATATATATATATATATATATATATATATATATATATATATATAATAAATCTATCTATCTATCTATCTATATATCTATATATATCTATATCTATCTATCTATCTATCTATCTATATCTAAATCTATTATATCTATATATATATATCAATATATATTTATCTATACATATATATATATATTTATCTATACATACATACATACATACATACATATATATATATATATATATATATATATATATATATATATATATATATATATATTTATCTCTCTATCTATATCTATATATATATTATATATATATATATATAAATATAAATATATATGTATTCACATACAGAATATACTATTCAAATACATATATATACTAAAAGATCCAATAAGAACAAAGAAATTGATGTAATATACCTAGAC